AGGGCTCGTTGCGAACGAGGTTGACGTTGGAGGAGGAGGCGGAGGCGGAGGCGGAGGCGGATGCAGAGGTGGAGGCTGCGCTTGCCGATGCGGCATGTGCGCTCGATTGGCTGGAGGGTTTCTTCTTGAGAAAGCCAAAGGGGTTGCGCGACTTTTTGGCGGCGGCGTCTTTGGAGCCGTTGAGGGTGGCGGTGGAGGTGGCGGCCGAGGGCGGCGTGCGCGGACGGAGCGAGTGCTGTGAGCGCGAAGAGGTGAGGCTGGGATTGTCGATGCTGGCTAGGCTCGAGTCGTTGAAGGAGTACTGTGTGGTGCCAGTTCCTCTGCGTGGACGGGTGCGGATGACGGGAGAGGCGGTGGCCGGGTTGGCCGCGCTGGCCGCGCTGGCAGCCGTTGTCGTCGTCGTCGTCGTCGTCGTTGCTGCTGCTGCTGCTGCTGACGCTGATGATGATGATGCTGATGTTGAAGCGGCATGGTTGCTGGAAGGGTAAGCGCGACTTGGGCCATCCTGCATGGAGGGGGACTGGAAGAGCCACGGACTGATGTCCTGATGGTTTGCCGCCTTTACGGCCTTTGCAACGTCGCCGTCGAAGGAGGAAGAGTTGTTGGGGTGGTCGATTGGGCTGCGCGAGAGGATCTGGCGAAGTTCGTCGTCGTCAAAGGAGGAGCTGATGCCATGATGGTGGTCTGGCTTGGACGAGTGCGAGCGATCGTGGTGGTGGTCGTCGCCAAAGTAGTCGCGCTCGAGGGAGAGGGAGAGGGAGGAGTTGTGGGAGGGTGTGGAAGGTTGTGTGTGCGCATGGTCCAAGGTTGGCCTGGAGTAGTTCTTGGCGTTGTGCTGGGGCGTACGACGAGAAGAGGAGGAGAGCGAAGGTGTTGCGGTGAGACTAAAGTTGAGGTCGGGCTGTGACGATTGGAACGAGTTGGAGATGGAGCGAAGCGGTGTGGAGGCTGGGTCGGCCTTGTGGGTAAAGTTGGAGCTGGTGGTGCTGTCGTGGGAGCTGTGCCGTTCGAGTGCGATTTCGGTGGCGTTGTTGCGCGTATGCTCTGGCGAGGCCGAGGCGATGGGCCTGCGATTGGAGTACATGGTGGCGATGTGAGTGTGTGTGTGTGTGCGCGCGGATCTACTAGAACAGCGCAGACGGCGGATTTGCTAGCTAGGTAGCCGAGTGTTGATGGCGGCGCATGTCGATTTCGATTGATGGACCAATGTTCCGCAGTGGTTTCGCCAAGGGTGTCGCCGCTCTCGATGGATGGTGGTGGTGGAGGAGGAGGAGGAGGAG